ACATTATGACTTGGACATATATGACATATGTACAAATTGGTTGGTTTGTATGTATAAATTTGGTTTAATTTGAAGAACACTTTCCACATTTTTACTTTACCTCCTAAAAAGCTTTTGGCAAAAATAATAATTAAAAGAATGTTAATGTTATTGCACAACAGGTGACCTGCAACTGCTACAGAGTTCCCATGTAAAATGGGAACAAAAAAAAAAAAAGAAGGATGGATTGGATATATGCTAGATAAAATGGAATGGATATAAATTGTGAGATTAAAACTGAGATTAGTTGATAGGTGGACCTTTGTTTCTACAGGCAATTATCAGTACTGTTTTTAGGGGTTTCACAAGAAAGGGTGATTAAAAGCCAACACAAACCTTACTTTTACAAATTTACATATTAAATATATTTTAAAACATGCTATGTTTTCCTTTCACTTCACAATAAGCACTTCTTTTTACCCTATTAAAGGGAGCATGGACATGTTTGTTGCTAATGAACCTTAATTAGCGTTCCACAAATTTCCTTGCCTATTGTAACATGCCCTAAGATTCTTCTGCTGTAAGTTTAAGGGGCCTCCTAAGGGTGGGAAGGTTGAGGCTCACCCCTGGCAGACACTATTGTTAATCAAGCAGTAACATCTGCTGTATTTTTCTAATCTTCTCTAGGCTGTCCTGCGTGGTTTTAGGCTGTCTGCTTCTTTTTCTTTTTTTTTTTTTGCCTGTAACCCAGGATTTGTCTCCTACACAACATCGGATACCACCCTGAAGTTAACATCTTTATTTCAAAGGTTTGAAAAGTTCTTTAGATTGCACATGCAGAGTATAGTTGTGGATGAAAAGTAGCAGGACCAGACAAAAAAAAAATTTGATATATGTACAAAGTTAAATATATATACAAAGTTAAATTGTTAAATATATGATTCATTAACTAAGGCTGGACTTTGTTTTTTTAAACATTATACAGTATTTTTCCAATTAATAGTCAATTATTTCTTATGTACTGTACTGGCTGAATCCCTAGATTATTTAAATGTGTCATAATAGATATATAGAATGAACCGACGTCTGATTGGTTAGGCTGCAAAACAGTTAAAGAGACAGTTGGTCCTCCCTGCTAACTGTAAATAAGACAAGAAAGTAAAGATATTAACAAAACAGCCAGGATGTTTTGTGTCTGAAGTCTTTTTAAGGTTTGAATACTGTCCTATGGCAAAATTTCAGGAGGGAGGGGCCAACGCTATGAACACTAAGTCACAGTATTAAGACCCATGGTTCATTTTAGCTGTAGCTCCCCACAGCAAGCAGCTCTCCTTAAAACCCCAAACCATTACACTCCCGCCACAGTAGTTGAGATACCCTTGACTTTCTACCCCTCACCTTGACACCATCTGAACCATGTCCTGTGGTCTGATGAGACCAAGATAAACTTATTTTGGTCTCATTGAACCTCATAGGTGCATTAATCAGTGTTTCATATTTCGTTTTTCTTTAGCAAACCTTTCATTGCCTTTCTTATCTATCATTTTTAGGAGAGGCCTACTGCTGGGACAGCTGCATAGACCACTTTGTAATCTACATAGTCTGAGCACTGACAGACCCCCTGTCAGACCTGAGATCCTGTAACACTCATTAGGGTCATGGGACAGGGCAAGGAAGATGGTTAGTGTGGTAAAATGTGGACTTCTTTATTTAAGTATGTACTTACTTTTGATGGCAGTGGTATAAACCGATGTAAAAAATTATTAGGCTGACCTTGTTTTATTTTTTCATCAATATACCTTTGGAGAAATAGTTAAGGATTGTGTTTGAAACCCTCTTTCTAAATAACAATGCTTCTTTTGGAGGCAGATGATTAAATAAAGCTTGTATTTGCCTGCACAAGGAACTGGGAGTAGCCAGGTGTGATGGCGCTCTGTCAACAATAGAGGGCAGTATCCCCCAAACTCAAAGAAGGGACTCAAAGTAATCCAAACATGCATCTCATGACCAGCCAAAAGAACTTATTTGCTTTAATTTTCCTTTTGATGTCCTAATTGTATGTTCACACACACACACAAAAAAAAAAAAAAAAACTTCCTGTGAGCCCCCCCCTGCATAAAGATGGCTGCCATCTGTGGCATTGCTGACCAGGAACAGGCGGCTAAAGAGCTGTTGTAACAGGAACTTTCCTCTCGACTTTAATGAACCCTTATTTTATTACAGACAGGGGTTATAATTTATGTAAAATATCAAATAAAATCCATCAAAACCACCAAACTATCCCGAAAAGTTGTAATAATAGTTTATAAGCAGATTTAACAACAGAAGGGTGAGTTATGGTAGCTGTCTAAAGTGCATTTATTGTTTTAACTGTTCATAAGAATCTGTTTCATGCAACAAACCACACTGATTTAAAGAAAAACACTGACACCATTTGTTAGAATCCAGAAGTGCACAACTTTAAAGTCTCTTTTAATGGGTTGCTGCTGAAATCTCATTGACCTAGTGGGGTCCTGAGAATGCAGTCAGCACATCAAAAGAACCACATGGCTTTCATGAAGCCCCATCTAAATTTCATGGTCTTATATCCAACCCACTGATCCTGACATTATGTTTTATAGCTAAATTGGGGCAAAGAGGCACATCCTAGTTGGTGCCAAAAACATGATTTAAAAAAACGAGACATCTGTGTCTTAAAAAGGAGCAGCTGTTGATTAAAGAAACATCCAGTAAGATCGTATAGACACTAATAGTTCATATTTATATCTAAGATCAGTTATTTACCATCTATCTGCTTTACTAAAATATTTCATTGTAAGCAAATTGGACTTAATTCCATATTTTAAACTACACTTGTATAGATATTACAATGATTTAGAGAAAGAACTATGAATAAAAGTCAAGAAGGAAGATTTCTACAACAAACTAAGTGATCCAAAATACAGTATTTATCATAAACGGCATGATTGCAACATACAAAAAAAGACATTTTATTTCAAACAATCAATTTTTTTTTTGGAAGAGTTTCAACAAACTTCCAGTGATGCCAAACCTAACATTCATGCCAACACTGCCAACGCCCCCTGGTGTTGCTCTAGATGAGCTGCCATTGGTTTGAAAGTTTAGTAAGTTAGACCCAAATGACATAGAGGTGTTTAATTTGTGATTTAAGAAGATTACGCACAGATCTGTTGGTGGTGTGAATCTATTTAGCCTCTTTTGTTCCCAATACCCCAAAATAAAATCTTGTGCAATAAGTCAGCTCAGGAAGTCACCTCCAAGAGACCATTGTGGGTCACTTCAGAGTAAAAAATGCTGTGCTAAGAAGGCTTTAAAGATTTGCTGGAGTATCTGATAGACCAAGGAACACCACAGTGAGTTATGATAAATCAAAATCCTGATCTTTAAACATCTCATGAACACGATTTAATCCATCATCCAAAGCCGAATTGGACAGAAAACCATAAAAGACACAAACAAAAGGTCTGAAGTTACTGCAGCAAAGCACCAAATTGTATTGTTAGGCCAGAACAGCCCTGTGCAGTTTGCTAAAACCATCTTGGAAACAAAACAAACATAAGCAAGAAGGTGATCTAGTCTGACGGTGCCCAACAGTTCTGCCAACATGAAAAAGTCCAAGGGCTACTTCATGGCTACTCAGGCATAGGAAGGACTACCAATACTGACCTATGAACTGGAGGGATCAGAGGTCACCTTAACTTCATACTTAGACACATTTTTATTGGGAGGGAAGGAAAGACGGAAGAAGGGATGGAAGGAATGAAAAAAATAAGGAAGAAAGGAACAAGGGGGGGAGCGAAGAAAAGAAAGACGCAAGGAAGGAGGGAGGATGAAAAGAGAGAAGAAACAAGGGAGAGAGGAAGGTTAGAAGGAGGGACAGGATGGAGGGAACAGAGGAAGGAGTTGAAGGAATGGAGGAAGGAAAAAAGAAAGGATGGAAGGGAGGGTTTGAAGGAATGAAGGAAGAAAGGAAGGTTGGAAGGAAGGAAAGGAGGGAGGATTTGAAGGAAATAAAGAAGAAAGGAAGATTGGAAGGAAGGAAGGGCGGGAGGGAGGATTTGAAGGAATGGAGGAAGGAAGAAAGGAAGGATGGAAGGAAGGGGAGGGTTTGAAGGAATGAAGGAAGGTTGGAAGGGAGGGTTTGAAGGAAAGATGGAAGGAAGGAAGGAAGGCAGGGAGAATTTGAAGGAATGGAGGAAGGGAAGATGTAAGGAAGGAAGGAAGGAAGGAGGGATCAGCATTCACCATAACTTCATACATAAACATTTTTATTGTTTCTTTTAACTCCTATATTTATGATATTGTCATTTTGGAATTTGCTGTAGCATTAAAATGATGAAATGCTCTAAAAAGGATTAAAAAAAGAAGAGCAACACAATAAAATAAAAATTCCAATCTCAGCCTATTGGTGAGTTGTGCTGTTTTCAGAAGGTGCTGCGGGGACCCCATGGGGCCCCTTGGTGCCCAAGGGCACCACACTGGTGACCCCTGCTCTACGCTGCATTGATCAATTATATCAAATCCCAATAAAATGCATTGACACTTATGGATATAAGTGGTGAATGTTTTGATATCATTACAAGAAGTGTGGTGGGTGGTGGCATCTAAGAAAGAGAAAACAACCAGTAGGTTTTTGGAAACAATTCAGTTTAATGTTGGACTCTGGAGAACATTATTTACAGACAATGTAAGACCAACAGACGTACAGCTGCTTTCAGTTCTTTCAGTGTGTTTTGATTATATTAAAGTCTTATAGAACTTCAAGTATAACACATAGGGATGTTTTTATTCTCCCTAATTAGTCTGATTGTGTTCAAGAAAAAACAAACAAAAACAAAGGAAGAACTTCAGAAATGGTGACATTTCTTTTAGCTGCTTTACAGATAGCTTCCTGTATAAGTGCATTTAAGTTGTGCATAAAACACACATTCAATAATTTAGGCTCCAAGAAAAAAAAAAAAAAAAACTCGGAGTGCTCTTTACTGAGCGGATTGCACAGTCTCTCCCTGAGAATCTGTCCTCTCGTTCTCCATGTACGCCTGCACAGACCTCCACAGCGCACGGATGTTCCCCTCGCCGAAACCCGTCGCCCCTCTGCGCTCGATCAGCTCCAGGAAGAAAGTGTCCTCAGCGAAGAGGGGCTTTGTAAACACCTGGAGGAGATATCTAACAAAAGAACAGAACCGAAAGGTAGATCATGTTGAGATTAAACATTTTGAAGAGAGACCTGTCTAAGAACACACAGAGACAAATCCAAATACAAACTGCAGACATGAAAACAAAAAAAAAAATTGAGAATGAAAAAAAAACAACATCTGAGGATATGATTTGAAATTAGCTACAAAAAATTAGAAACACAAACCTTATTTATAAAGTGGTTTTAAATTTTTAGGGAGATTTGCATCTCTCTAAAAAATAAACCAGTTTTACCCAAAATGGAAGGAAATAGAGCTTCCTCTAGATTGATTAACCTTAAACCAACCGCTAGATGACTGACACTGGTTTTAACAAGACAACGATCCCAACCAACCACGGCTCCAAACTGGTTTGGAGTAGATAAAGCAGGCTAGCATCATCTTCTCAAATGATCCCCAACTAAAAGCTAATAAAAATGTTTAAACCAGGGTTAAGAGTCAAGTTCATGCCAGGAAATTCCCCGATATAAACAACCAGAATCAGGAAAGAAGCTCTTTAATGGAAGCAAAAAGTCTTATGATCTTTCTGCAGTCTGTAAAGCGTGTGTCTAAATATCAGAAAGGTAAGGCCACATTAAATTCTCCCACTTTTTTGTTATCTAAAACCAAATATTCAAAGGCTTTATCTAACCCAGAACTAAAGGATTCTATTCTTATTAAACATGCTGACGTCTATCCCTGATCAAATGGTTGTGGATGAGCTGTTAAGGTTTGAATTCTTCAAAAAGGAAAAATGGGGTGACTACAGGTCCTACCTTTTGTTTCCGCTGCATTCTTTCTGAGACGATGGATCGTGCTGCAGGTCTGTGTCCAGGAGAATGCCATGCTTTGAAAGTATCCGTGGATTGTGTCCCACTTCCTCTATTTCCCTCTGCTTCCCAACCTACCAAGTGTAAAATAACGTGTTTAGTTAGAGTAGCTATAAACTAGAACAATGTTAGATTTGCAAATACAAATATGCACATTTATCTTTACTTCAATATCATTTATTTACCCTTACATGTCCCACTCAGATGCAGGATTATTCACCAAAATGGATTCTGGGTTATAATAATCATAGCAGTGTAATAATGTGGTGACGATATGATAAATGTGTGCTTTTATTTGCAAATGTGACAAAGATAAGTCGTTGCCTACGTTATAAATATTGAAAAAGAAAACAATAATTTGGAATCGACCAAAACGGGGGCGATAGCTATGGTTTTGCTTTACAATCTGTTTAAAGGAAGCAGTTATCTTTGTTGCTTTTTCCCCCCCATTTTATTCCATATTTTATCCCTCCACTAAACTTAACATTTCTATGGTTGGATTCAGCACTGTGTGAACAGCTAGCTTTCGTCGTAGCAGCCTTTGGTTCGCCGTAACATCCACACCCCTCGATAGTGTGAGTTAATGGTGTTGGTGACTTTCTGACGGGCAACTGTGCTATCACAATGATTGTGTCAGCCAAAACACAACATCTCTGTAGTAAAATTCATTCTTTTTTTTCATTCTTCTCTTTTTCGTTGTGCAATATTTTAATTTGTTGATTTTTTTTTCAGTAAAGAAAGCAATAATCTTCCACATTAGCATTTAACATCATCAGATAAGGAATCCTGTCTTGTGAATCCTTAGGACTGTCCCTTCTTAAATGAATTACTTAAATAAATATAAATGAGGCATCCTGGTACATTTTCCTCAGTGCTGTTTTATTGCACAAAATCTGTCTGTGTCCTTGCCGTCCCGCGTGGCGTCCTGGTCTTAAATAGACCGATTAGGGATTTGGCTGGTTAAGAAAGTCAGAACTGAAACAAAGCTTTTCTTTATCTTACATAAAAAAAAAAAAAAGATTGATCATTTCTTTCTCTCTTTCTTCTCAGGTATGTAGCTATAAGTGATGCTCACCTCTGTGTAGTAGGCAGGAGGTGGGGAGAAAAACTGAACTCCAGCTTCAGCCATGGCGTTTGTAGCAGAGACGATGTCTTTGGTGTAGAGTGCGATGTGCTGGATGCCGGCCGCCGTGTGCTGCTCTAGGAAGGTATCCACCTGGTTGGGACCTGAAATAAAGAGTCAGGATGCTCTTTGAAGCTGTGTGTTCATAAACCGGAGAGGAATCTGAAGTATCGGCTGCATTCGCCTACCTTGATGAGGAAGGGACTCTGCGATGACCAACTTGCAGTCCGGTTCTTTCTTATCCGTAAAGGGAAGCGTGATGCCAGCTTTGCTGCACTTCCAGTACTGCATGGCAGTGAGCCGAAGTCCGACTCCTTCCTGGTTCACGACAAAACCTTCGTCCACATCTTCTTGACTATAAAAAATAGAAGAAAGATATTTTTGTTTTTCTCCTTGAGTAAATTAAATTCTACTGCTTTTCTGGTAAAAGTTCCATTAAACAAAATAACTACAGTGTATTCTCGGTGGGATTTATATATTTTTAGGAGTCTGAAAGCACCGTTAGATCACAGCTTCAAAGGTATGGATACCCTGGAAAAGATCTTTCATATTTCTACTTTGAATTTTTATGTCTTTTATTAATAAAATCGCTCCCAAAATAAATATTTGAAATCCTGCACTGTACTTAGACCCTTATAGAAGATATCTTAATAGTCAACAAATTCCATCTATGTTTATGACTCCACAGGACAACTATTGGTTGACACTCCTACAAATCTATCGCTTACAAAAGCAAAATTAAAGCTTTTGTTCTATGATATGCAAGGTCCTAATATGGTTTGCAACATGAAGACGTTTAAAGGCTGGAAACGAAAGGATGGTTCGAATTCCTGCAGCAAAAAGTCTTCAGATTTACAGTTTATTTAAAGCATTTGCATCTTAATAAGGCCCAGACAGAGTCCAGACCTAAATCCAGTTGTGAACCTATGGCACGATTCTGGTAAGCACTGTAGTGGCGTGTAGAGGCTTTTTTAAGGGCGGGGGCAGTGAGGGCACAAAAAGCTCGTCATCAAACACACAAATGACTGAAATCCCACTTTACCATGAACTCTATGCTGTCACAAAAAAATCTCCCCATAAAACAGGTTGTGATAAGATCTTAAAAAAATGAAGAATTACTAAATAATAAGGTGGTGTTTAGCCTTGGGAGGAACGTCTAAAAATCCAAATAGTTGAATTTAAGAGATGAAGAAAGTTAATCTCACAATATATATATATATATATATATATATATATATATATATATATATATATATATATATATATATATATATATATATATATATATATATATTATCTTTTATGCTTATCTCGAATAGATTTCTAGTCTACTTAAACTACCTTATGGGAACCCAAAACTACATTTTTCCAAGATTTTTATTTTATTTGATAAATACACTGCAATACCATCTTTCGCCAGCAGATGGCACAACAGTTAAGCACTCTGTAAAGAATATGAATAGAGATTAAAAAAAACTAAGTAAAATTGCATTTGGCATGTTTGGGAGCTACAAATAAATTAACTGCATGCATGGACGGAGCCTTTGACTTAGATTTTAATTACATTCTAACCTTGAAATGTCTAGAATAGTTTCTAGTGATAAAATGTGACCATTATTATACAAATCAGACTGTTTGTGACTTTGAAACAGGTAGAGGCGGTGAGCTGTCAGTACAGTTAAAAACAACCAAACAGCATTGGTGACAGAGCTGTGAGCAATGGCTCAATGATAATTTGAGGGGCAGAATAAGTTACAGAGAGAGAATAAAGTTTAAAAAACATTGGTTTAGAGAGAAAGACAATGATCAAAATCCAATGATATAGTAGTGGTTAATATTAGTTAAAAATCCCAACTAATGGATAATGTCTCCCACCGCATGCATGAAGTTGTTGCAGAACTGGAGAAATCCTTCAGTGACAGACAGCTGCACCCTAAATGCACCAGGGAGCGTTATCACAGGTCCTTCCTTCCAGCAGCTATAAGACTCTATAACAACCACCGTTCCCAACAACCTCAGTAAGTTGTTAGATTCATGCCGATTTTGCAGTTTCTACCTTAGTCCGTTAAGTAACACGATGCTGTCATTTTACACATCAATGATGTTGCGCTTCTTGAAATATCCATTACTGTAAAAAAAAGTCCATAGCTGTATATTTACAGCAGCTTTTTTTTTTTTTTTTGTATCTCTGCTTCCGTCTCCTTGAACCCCAGTCGGCCTCGGCAGATGGCCGCTCACACTGAGCCTGGTTCTGCTGGAGGTTTCCTCCTGTTATAAAGGAGTTTTTCCTCCCCACTGTCGCTACAAGCATGCTTAGTGTGAGGGATTGCATCGATGCAATCCACTGGTTTTCCTTAGATAGAAAACTTTGAATCAGTTTGACTGTATGATCTGGTGAACTTTAAAGTGCCTTCAGATGACATATGTTATGAATTGGTGCTATATAAATAAGCTGAATTGAATTATATTGGTTATTTATTCTCCAGGTGCACAGTATTTATATTGTTGAAACACTTTACAGTGCAGTATTTCATTTTTTTTTTACTTTTAACTATTATGTTATTATAAGGTCCACATTTGTATGACCATTTTTTTCTATAATCTTTTTGCTGCTGTAAACACCAGAATTCCCCCATTGTGAAACAATAAAGCGATTTTCTATTCTATTTTTTATTTTAATATTGGTCAATTTGTAGTTAAATAAGGTAGCATTCCTAATGCTATTTTGGTGTTAATTCCCATCCTGGGTAATAAGAGATTTGACAAAGGGAAAATTAGATTTCCTTCTTAAAAAGTGTAGGTTCATTAAATCTTACAACAGCTTTCCATACATCATGTTCTTACCTATCAATGAAAAACCTGTGAAAGCCAAACAGCTTCTCATACCAGCCCATGACCTGATGGGTGGACTTCCTGGGACAGGCATAAGTTATGTGATCAAAATGGGTAACTGGACAAGACAAGTCCTCCTTTTCCGAACCCCAGTCCTTTTCAGTGACATTAAAGCCTGGTAAAAACGTCCCTCCATACTTTGTCTTGTCAATTAAAGTATGGCAAACGTTCCCCACGATAGATTTAATCACGGAGTAAGTTACGACACCGTTCTCGTCCTCAACGGTTGTGGGAGGCACTAGAAAGTCGCAGCCCAGATGGCGGAGCACCTTGAATGACCTTTCCACATCCTCTACTTCAAAACACACGTTGCTGACAGAATCCACCGGGTGTTGCAGGTGGACATCGTAAAGAAACGATGGGTGACTCCTTTTGTTGATCCAGTGAGGTGCAGGTTCATGGTTTCCTCCGAGCTGCATCCATTCATTTGATCCCTCACCGCCCAGGCTGGGTCTCTCATTCACAACGAACACCGCCGCTCCTTTCCGGTAGACCACCTGCTTGGATTTGTCAGTCAGCCTGGTGGCAAACACGTTAAATTTGTATTTGGAGACAAGGTCATTGGCTAACTTTTGTCCGTTGGAAACGTGGAACGAAACGTGGTGTAACCGGCGCAAGCAGACTGCCATGTTTCCAATACGAGCATGACAAGGGGTGCGCTTCATTTGTCAGCCGGGGTGGGTAGACTCACTTTACCGGCAGGGCAAGGGTGGAGACTGAGGTTTTTCATGGGGGCGCAAACATCTCGACAATAGTTGATCTTTTAGTATTCGGAGGGAGCTAAAGATTAACATCTTCAAGTATTATACCCTAAATCTAGTAAAGCAAAACTTAGATCATATCTTGATTTTTAAAGGAGATAACCACAAGTTTATCTAATTTCATCCAGTAGGTGGCATACTTGAGCTCACCCGTT